ATAATCAGAGGAGTCAAGAACAGGCAACATTGTGGCTTTGGGCATGTTGTAGCTGGAAAGACTGTATAGGGACACTTCTTGAATCAATTATTTTAAATTAAATATTGGAAAGTACGTAGCCATCTTGCAAAAGACCATCAAACGATTTGTGCTCAATGTTTGACTGCACATAATTGCTGTCTAATTCTTGAAGTGATGAATAGAAGGTAGAATGGGCTTATGGAAAATGTGGGACACAAAACTACAGAAAGCCAAAAAAGGCACTTTTTGTCACTTGAAGTAGAAATTAGATCCAAATTAACGTTTTAACGAGAGAACTAATCTTTTATTTAAACACAAGTGAACAAATATTACTAGCTGTAACTAGACCTAAAGTACTTTCATCAACCAGCCATCGATTTTCTTTAAGTGACGTCCCTAATCAGAGCACAATACTTTAAGACCTGACTGGCCAAATACATTTTTACTAAATAATAATCCCCAGTTCAGTTGCTTTGAAATATTTTGCTTCGACTTAATTTTAGCACAGAGATCCTTTAATCAATTTTGTGAAGAAATTTGAAATTGCAATCAGTATTTCATAGCAGGATTGTTATAAATAAAAAAAATTAAATCGAGTTTAAAAATTGGGGATCAGTCTTAGGGAACCAGGTGGTCAGTCAGTATTAAATCAAGTGCACATGGAATGAAGGTCACATTTAGCACAAGGAGACCAAGTTCTTGAAATGCAGCCATCGTCCCTGAGGGTTTTAAAATGATCAGCCCACAAAAGCAAATATTAACGCTAAATGTTGCTGCGCATTTCCCATTTGACTGAAAACGAACACCGAAAAATTTGAGATCAGGTGAACCAGGTGGATGTTCTGTCAATCACAAAGCCCAATCCGTTTGGGCAGGTAGTGATCATCAACCTGGAACTGAACGAAAATTATCTTAGTGGTGTAGTGAACTCTTTTAATTGGACCGAATATGACAAAAATTAGACACATTTAACAGAAAGCCATTGTTAATCATTGAAATATAGTTCTGCCTGTCACAAATACTTCGACAAAGAACTCACCAGTTAACGGATTTTGCCGACAAACTTTGCAGTTTAGTTGCATCCTGAATCATTCCAAGAAATCCTCCACGACAATCACAGTCATTCTTACCAAATTCACGGAGTAAGAGTGGGTGAAATGGTTTCAACTAGTCATTTTCGAAAGTTCTTAAAGTTAATCTTTGAAAGATGCTAGATCCTTGTGGAAGTTGTATTGCCGATTTCCGTGCACTACGCTAAAAGGTAGCCCCAAAAATGTGACCGATTTCAAAGTGTCAAACAGACTTTGGTATTCCAAATGTTCAACGATTTTCCAAGAACCTGATGACTGAAAGCTTGGATTAATAGCGGTTACACTGCCACTTTCTAATGCCAGTATATTTCTGAAATCAACTTTTCTCACTATTGATGTCTTTTTGGTGCCACGTGCTCCATTAAAATACACTTTCTTTAGTTATCAGTTATTGATTATTGGCCTCTGTCATTCTTGAGGCACGATTTTCAACCCACATCAAGATACTTCTTACAAGTAAACCGGTAAACTCCCATTACCACGATGGGTCCATATTAACTACTTCAGGCAATAACAATCACCTTGTAAGAAATGAATCACTAAAGCTTCAAAACTATTGTTAATTCACTTCTCAGTTACTTCTGACCCTATACATTTGATGGCTTCCCGCAAAGTTATAAAACAAAATAGGTTTTAAAGGCCCTTGTGCTGTATAATCACAACCGACCCATAAATGTTAGCAACTTACCTGGGCTTAAGCTTTATTTTCCAGCACAATTCTTGAAGAAGGTTAAGGTAAACTGTCAATTTTCTGCACAAAGGCAAACACATTACTACATTTTATGATATCTTGGAGTCTAAACGTGGGTTGCAATAAATGTGGCTACGAAATTTTCACACAAACTGACTTTATCTTAATGCCTCTAGATTTTAAAGCATGCTTTTATGAATATATATGGACCTATGTATCCACACACGATGTCCTCACCTGCCATATTTTCCAATTTCATATGGAAACGAAAATTTTGTGTACGGTTTGTGTAATAATTAAAAATGACCTTGAGTGGACTTCTAGAGAATAACATTTGCTCAAACATCATCCACATACTCGATGGAGCTGCCGGAACGCATGAATAAAATGGCCTAGGTTATAAGTAAGCCGTAGATCCACCTCCCTGTCATATTATTAGTGCCAAATAGCCTATGCAGATAATCCTGGCAACAAATCTCTCAAGAAAGGCATTAGACTACAATAAAGGAAGATTATCAAGACTCCAGACAAAATATATCAAGTGTTTCTGTGTGATATAACTAGATATGTTTTAGTAAACACTAAAACAGATAATCTTGAAACCTCGATTGCACCCTAGAGTCAAAGTCTAGGCTCTCAATACCTTAGAAATTACATTTGCAACTTATCTGTTGGTTAGGAAAATTATATTAAGGAAGCAAACATGGTTGCATCTTTGGTAGCAGGAACCACTTTTCTAAAACTTGGTTTGTTTTTGTCCCGCTTAATGCGTAGTCAGCAACCATTTGCAATCTTACATCTTGGCAACCCTCCAAGTGTCCATTTCCAAATGGGTAATTTTAATTTTACTTACGAAGAATTCGGAATTTGGTTGACTGCACTCAGGCGAATTCGTAAAGCAAATGCAGCCTTTTTTCGAATTACAAATCCGTACAATGCAATGGTATCCCAATTGAACCATTTGATGTGACTGAGGACTGTTGAAGCAGAATTATACCTAATGTCTTCGTTAATTCAAGTGTGCCCTAAATAGATGTGACCTGACACTTTTATGTGTTTGGAGGGTCAAGTGTGTGCCCACAACCACACATCACATTCTTACGTCTTGTTGATTCTACCTCCAAGTCAAAAAATGATAACCTAATGTTGACATCAACGCTAAGTCGTTGGTTGCTTTTTCCATTCCGAAAAACTCTTCTGCACGGTTTTTTGTATCCCTATATAAAAGAACGCTTGTAATTTGGAGACAAGTATAAATTTATTGGCCAATCAAACCAAACTGTACAAGTATTCGCAGCTACCTGATTTACATAAGAAGCAGTATTAACAGTCACCTCCATTTAATCCCGTTTCATGTTTTAAACTAATTTCAAAAATTGAAATAATCGTAGGGTTTTAAAACGAAATTAATAGTAACTGCCCATTCAAAAAAACATCCAAACTGAAGCTTTACAAATATCAAGTACAGACCAGTTGAGATATAGCCTTCATAGATTTTGGGTATAAATGCAGCGTCCAGAATGCCATTTTGTTAATGTGCATTGAATCAGAAGCACTAGGCTGTCAGCTATTGGTCGAAGCAGCAGACCAATGCATGAATAGGATGCTGCCCAAAAGAGTCATCGAAAATGCCATTGCTTTGCCCACGTATATCTTTAGAAAACCCGCCAACCTTGCCACGGATCAGCGTGCCTGCTGGGAATTCGGGTAGTGTGCCTATGGACATACAAAACCTTTGCACCCCAACTTGCCTAGACCCGGGTAAAATGGATCGACAGTCACCCACGACTGGGTAAAGTTAATTTGCACTGTAATTTAAGTTTGTGTCTGTATAACGCCACATTTAGGCTGTTTTCCGCATTATAAATAACAAAACGAATAGCTAAACGAGCATTGTTTTAGTGTCCTTAGACGTTTTGAAATAAAATTTTGTGAAAATCACTGTTTGCCTTTTCTTGACAGCAAATCACAACTCCACATTTTCAAGTCAAATTTTTATTATACATAAAGTGCATCTTAATCATGGAAAGCAGTTTAAGGAACATTTGGTCTCAGCGACATTGACATTCACTTACAAGTTCAGTTGGCGCACTCACAATTGCCTTCAAGAAAACAAATGTTGGCGGCTTCGTGATAGATTGATGTTTCAGCTTTTCAATTAAAATAATGGCTTTTGCACGAGGTCATTTTTCCTTTTCTAAAATAGGTGATCAATAGCTGCTTAAATTTGAAATGAAGTTGACATGTTAAATATTAATTTCTGGAAAAGCACTGTTTCTTTTCAGGTATTTTAAGTGCCACCGTTTCTCTCACGCCTATTTCATGCTGATAAAACTGTACAAAGAAAAATTAAATGACACTCTGGACAACAACCAGTCTCCCAGATGTATGGTTTGGTAGTTTCGACGATGAAAATGATGGTGGTTTCTTCTGTGTGTGCAGTCACTAACTGCTTACTTGGTATTTTTTCTTCACAGGTAAAAAAGTTTTTTTTCGAGGCCGCCATTGGCACACGGACACATAAGATTTTTTTCAAGATAAATTTACTGTATAAGACAATGAACAATAGTTTTTTGCTAATTTAGCAAAAAACACTTGGTTGCTTTATTTGCAATGAATTTATTGACACAAGTCATGTTTATATAAATCCTTCAAGTAAGTTGTATTTTTTGTCTATGAATATTTACCACCCAACCAAAATTTATAGAGCTTTAAACTAAAAAAATACAAAGTGATGTAAAACAACATGCCCACAAATAAGAGCAATTGGAATAAATTGTATGGAATTCTTATTAATTAAGAAACCTTGGCCTCTTTCATAACACTGTTGTTGGCGGTGTCTTTAATCCTTACATGCTATGGTATCTTATACGTCACAACTGGTTAATAATTTACGTAACATATATCAGATCTGTTTCACCAGCACTTAACTTGATGAAGTCTAAATTGTCTTCATTGCACTTTAATTGCTTAAATGTCTTGGATTAATTAACCCTGAGTATACAAAATTAACCAGCAAAATTTATCATAGAGTTAACTGCAATTGAATCCAAGGGCATTTTTTGACAGAGACGCTTAAAATCTGGTGTTCAAAAAAGGTGATATCTTATTCGATTTGTCCCTTTTGCGATCGCCGTAAAGAAAATCTTATTTTGCGTATTAGATCGAGTTCAAACAGGCCGCAGCGCAGTCCGTTAATGAAACTGCGACAACCATTTGTCACCGCACACCAGAAATCCTCTCCAGACGGCACAATGCTTAAAGCCGGCTCGCAGTCTTCCCACTCTACGAACAGCGCCTTTTTGGCCCTCCAAAACACAGTCCAAAACTGCATCCCAGTGGTGCTTCCAACCTGCAAAGGTCAGTGGGACTTTTTGCGAAATCTCCCAGATCCCTCGATGACGGTCAGCCACCTTCAGCGAGTTGCCAGTGACGAGAATTTGGCGGCGAGCTTTCGAGCTAAAACATCCCACTTAAAGAAGGTCACACCCGATCAGATTCGGAGGTGGGAGACTAATTTCAATTTCCTCCTGAGCGATCCCGGTTAGTTGATTTTAATGCACTAATAACTTGGTCTCGGTAAATTATTCGATTGGTAAATGCGAACTTGATCCTTATTGGCTGAAAAACTGTCTGCATTCTTACCGTAGACACAGTTCATCTAAATAGGCTTTGTTCACTTTCACTAAGAACTAATGATGAAACTTCAGGATCGCCACTACTACCAGAATTTGAGTCACTCATTTGGATCGTACTGAGTCGGTGTTAATTCTTGGGATGTTGGGTTGATATATCCTGATTTAACGCTTGTATTTGGATTCAAAAGAAAGTTTAGACCTGCAATTAAATACTTCCGGTTGGCTGAAAAACCGTGCTGAAAAATTAATAGTTGATAGCTACAAAGAAACTCACTTCACGCAGATTTCATGACTTGTCCAGGCTAGCTTACTTGATTAAACAATGATAAATCATGTGTCCTTGTAGACTAATATGCAAGCGTTATTTTGCATAATTTCGAGCAAATTTTGTACTTTGTTGGCCTAGGAGAAAACTCTTCTGCATTCGCAGTAAAGACTCATTAATCTATTAAACAGCAACAATCTTTCGGAGCGTTACAACTACCTGGAAAATCTAATTTGAAAGGCATACACCATTGTCGTCAAATTGAATTAGACATGTCAGAAATTATTAACTGGATTTACTTGACTTAGAAAGCAATTTAAAAATACGTGAAACAGGCCTATAAGAATAAAATGGAAAGATTGGTTAATTATGTTGCGAGCCTGTACAGAAAAATCTCGGGAAGAATGTAGGAAAAAGTTGGAATTTCGTAAGAAATGAACTTATAAAAAACCTGTGCGCTTTCGCTCACTCTACCGGTCAGAGGTTTATGTCAAAAACATCTGCCTTATACACTCTACCTGTCTGATTTAATTATTATTTTATTTCCAAAAATTATGGACGCCAAGGTGAGAGATTGAAACCATTATAAAGGTTAGGCAAGGGCAAGAGCCACACACTTTTTCAAATATTGCTCATGAACTACTTGTGGCAGATAGTTGGGCTTGCAAAAAAAATACTTATTTCATACCATCTCCTTTAGAAAATATAGTATTTTTAATATGGGTATCTGATATGATAATTGACCTGCAATGTTTTGGTGATGAGAAGAGATCTGTGGTGTTTTGTTTATAGGTGAATGACAACGTTTAGCCTTTTTACATGCTGGGCAAATATGAAATTGTCCAAAATTAGCCATTTTCAATCTTCATAATATGATAGACAATTGTATTCACGATAGCGTGTTGTTTATGATGCCTGTAAGTAATCGATGCAAATTTTGTCTGGTAAACTTTCACTTTAAATAACGAATAAAAACATGGTATCTGCCTAGCAACTTGATGATAGTAAAGTCTGTTCAAGATCCCAGGCAAATCTGGGCGTTTGAAATTAGGTTTTCCCCTTATCGGCACAAGCTTGTGTCTAGCCTGCTACGCATGCTCTGCCTGTTTGAGGTGGATACGTCCCATTTAATGCATTTAAAAAACTTTGCTTGTTTTTAAAGAATCTAAATAAAGTTTGATAAATGGGAAAAAGTTTGTCGCTAAATGGAAGTGGCAGTGGACTTATATGTACACATCTCTTTAACTGCCGGCCAACCGGTTGCAAAACAGGACCTCTGGTAGAAAATTTTGATGGGTGATGAAAAGTATATTTATTACGAGAATGCCAAAAGTAAATAGGCATCGTGGGTAGATCCCAGCCATCCCAGTACATCGACCTCAAAACACGCCTTCCACTTGAAGCAGGTTATCCTATGAATCTAGTGGGCCGTGAAGGGTACACCTTATTACGAACTGCTAGCAACGGGTTGTCAGACGGTGACTGCGCAACACTTCAGACGATAAATGAAAGAACCAAGCAAAGAACCCCATCAGAAATGGCAAGTTACTGGGCAAGAAAGCAGGCAATTCATGCCGCCGCGTGACAACGCTCGACCCACTTTGCTCGATCGACTCAGAAGATCCTCTTGAACTTGAGATGGGAAGTTTAGCCACATGCAGCAAATTCACCAGACATGGACCCATCCGACTACCAGTTGTTCTGGTCAATGCCGCACGCCTTAGTGGATTAAATAGTTCAATAGGCTAAAAGGTGTGCGGAAATTAGTCACCGATGACTTGACTGCCTCGACGCTTGCTGGTGTCTTTCGCGATGGCATTCGCACGTTACCAGCGAGATGACTCAAGATCATAGAAAACGATGGACAATATTTCCATTATTAAGCTTGTTGTTCTATGTTCTTATATTAGACGAATATGCTAAAAATTCAGTACAGATCAGTCATACAACTGATATGTGTGAAATATTATATCACAGGAAATGGTAAAGGTACTTGTCTCTTGCCAACACACTTTCGTTGGCATTGACAGAAAGATAGTCGCCTGGTTGGCACGTTGATTTACATTTTCCAGTTTAAGTTAATTTGAGTCGTTGTGGTTTCACACTAGTCTAGCTTTTAACAATGATAAATCTGATAGCGAACATCTAAATGGCCAAGACGAAAGACGTAGTAATTACAGCATATTGTGTGACTAAAGTTTCTCCACTTAGATCTCAGATTGTGTAACATACCAGGAACTAAAAAAACTCAAAAATAAAGGGAATCCTAGAACCCAAAATGTAAGTTTTTTATAAAAATTATAAAGGCCACTTCACGGTGACTCCTTAAAATGTTACCAAGCAAATCGAATATTTCCGTTTTAAAGTCAAAACTTTAGGATAGGAATCGTGATACCTGAAAAGGTGATACGACTGCGTTCAGTGAGGAATTCATTGTTCCCCGAAATTTAATTTGACAAATCAGATCAGTTTTATTTTCAATGTACTGCCTCTTAATGTATTTCTAAGCTATTTTTGACCTACTATTTTAGAAAAAGGTAAAATTAGCTAGTTGATATTGTAAATCCGACCAATCTACTGGTAATTATTTATCAGACAATTTAAAAATTTGAGTTAATCATTTAAGTTTACTAGTATCTGCAATGATTTACTTTTAGTTCATAATTTTAAACTTCACTATCTCAGTAGCCAATCAATTTTCACTTGGTCTCACCAGGTATGGTTGTTTGCAAACTGATATTACACGACCACAGCACATTTTAAGGTTCACACTTTGTAAGGGTTTTAAATTAACGTCTTTGGTACGTGGGTGGAAGGGTGCACTTCCAAACATGTCAGCCGGTAGCCAATCCTGCTCGAGTTGGCATGTAAGCGAAAACTCCTAACTCATCAATATTTCAGAAACTACACATCTCCAATAGACGTTGTTATAATTTTGCTAAATATGTGCCTGTAATCCACAAAAACAATAAACGCAAACACTGAAAAGTGCTCCGAATTGTGATTTGTTTTATGTTGCATGACATTCATGCAAAACTTAGGAATGATAGATGTGAAGCTGGATAAATTGCCCAGTCAAACTTATGCAAACATGGATGTTATCTTTCTAGCCTGTGTTTCTTACAGAAATCAAAGCAGCTGTGGAAATGCACTTTCATTAGACTGATGCTTCTGCTAAAAGTTAAAATGGCAATCGGCGAAAGCAGATGTTGCCTGAAACATATAAACGTAAAACTTTGTTTTGGATTGTGTGGTTTAGAAGATGATGAGCTTATACACCCTAATTAGCATGTTATAATTGACTAATTAAAAAACAAAACAAAATTGCTTGGCTATTTACCAGGTTAGTTTCTATATAAGAATAGGCGCGAGACATTATTTAGCTTGATAGCAATCTACGAGCTGTTAAATGTCGCTGTGTTTCTTACGTTTTGTTCAAAGATGGGCTGGTACTCTTTGAAAAGTTTCTCGAAAGCGAATTCAGTCAGGAGAATCTCCAGTTTTGGGAGGCCTGTGAAAACTACCGTCGGATGCCGGCAAAGCTCTTACCCTCAGAATCTCAAAAAATTTACCAACTGTATCTTTCGGTTCAGTCTCCGCGCGAAGTAAGCTTTATTGCAAACTTGCTTTACATTCAAACAAAAAGAAACTCACTGAGAATTTTACGCCATCCGCGCTCCTACCTTTTTCCAAGGTAAATCTGGACTCTAAAACACGATTAAAAACAATCAGTCTTCTTTCAACCCCAACTGCTCACCTGTTCGACAGTGCTCAACGCAAAATCCAAGCGCTAATGGAGAAAGACTCCTACCAGCGTTTTCTGCGTTCTCCGATCTTTGTCGACTTCAAGAAGTCCCTTTTAGAGAACGCGACCTCCGCCATCCTAGCACAGCACCATTCACCGAAGCAAAAGAACAAACACGCTCCACCGTCCATACAAAGCGCCTTGCCCCAGGTTTTCAATGTCACAGCTCTACCCCTTGGCAGAAAACCCTTCTCCTAGGTGCGCCGTCAGTCGGCAAACTTGTTCAAGATACATGCAAATCACGGTGCAGCCTTATAAACCCATCCCAGGATGTGTTATGTGACGTACTTTTGTATATGAATTATTCAGTTTGAAAAAAGTACGTTTGACTTTTAATGCTTCAGATAAACACGAGCAAGACTTTCAAATAAAATACCTATTTTTTCTCATTAAGGCGTCCTTTTCTACAAATTTTGTGAAGAATAATTTTCTTAGACAATGAAGCCGATTTAATAGCCTGTGTTTTGGCGTATTTAAAAATTAAAAAAAAAAGCAGCAAATGATGTCAGTTCTGCGATTTACACCAGGCAATATATTGCATTGAAGTAATGTGGCATTTTTTTGTCGTAAAACTTGTTTTAAAAGAAACCGCTGATTGTACAAGACTCAGACAAATTTGTTGTATAAATAGCAACCCCTAAATGCGCAATTTCAGGTTTTATTATTGTTAAGGCTTGCTCTGTTATTGCTCTCACACAGCGCTGTTCTATGTGATAATGTTTTGCATGAAAAGGCAGGATAAATCAGTTCCAAGTAGAACCCTAGAATGGGCGCGCAATCACAATTTGTGTCTGCATTTTAAATAGATTTAAGTGAGTAGAGTCAAATCTCCGCAAAATTGGCTTAAGTACATTCTTGTGCTACAGTTACGTGAACCAAGATGAAGCCACAGGTATTATAAACGACATTTGGAAGGAGCAGGCCTTCAAAAAACATAAACCGATGTTCTCTGGAAAAGGAATACAATTTTTTGACACCATATTAACTTAACATTGAAACCTTTTTGTACGAAAAGCTGAATGGAACTACGGCCAAATGGTTTTGTCGAAAATAAATTTGGGTTAGAGGAATCGAAGAGTTTGACTAGCCAGTTCACATCTCAACCAATAAAAAGCCATCTTTGATACGAAAAACAAACGTAAGTAAATAAACAAGATTTGTCAAACAAAATGGAGTTCTTTCGTTTTCATATCATTACGATAACATGTTAATGCTTGCTTTGTTATAGCTCACACGTAGCGCTGTTCAATGTGATAAGGTTTTGCACGAAAAGTCAGGATAAATCGGTTCCAAGTAGAACCCTAGAATGCATAAGCAACCACGATTTGAGTCTGCATTTTGAACTGATTTAAGCACTTAGAGTTTAGTCTCTGTCACAGCTCCTCCGCTTGGGAGAAAACTCTTCCTCTAGATGCGCCCTCAGTCGGCAAACTTGTTCAAGGTACACGCGGCCGTACCAACCTCGATTGGCAAGTTATTTGTAAAATTCGTAAACCAACTAAATAAGATTTTGTCGGAAGCCTTAAATTTCTTAGACGGATTGGGTAGAGAATAAGCATAGCAGCAAGAAAGATTGTTAACAATGAAAGCAGTACACATATTTTTCACTTAATTCCTCGCGAGCTTTGTGACGAATAAGGCTGTTTCTTCGACTTAGGCTCTCCGTCGACTGTATAAGAACATAGAGTCAAATTGCTTGGCTTGTCTTTCACCAAATGGAAGTGAATTTTTCGCCCTTATCAACTTTAATATAAAATTAATAACAATAATTGAAAATCCCTTGCACACATCACAGCCCAAAATGGTCATGAAATAAATTGCACTGTTTCCAATTATGTGCAAACTGTTAAGTTTACAACTGCTAACTGTTTTTAAACACTTTTAAAAGATCTCGCTCACGAAGTTAGGTTTTAAAAGGAAGTAATTTTGCTTTTGTTATTCCTGCCATGGGAACGAAAGACATTGGCTTTGTCTTTGACACAATGACGCTCTTCCGACCGTAGACAACCTGAAATATTTTCAGAAATCAGTTCGCATTCAAGGATTTTGATTTTACACAAATGTCGTTTACATTTTACTTTATACCATTAGGAATCATTTTATAGCAGCCTGATTTTGGGCAACAGATGTGCCTTAAGACAGACCAACTTAGTTTTGTAGAGTGTTTTTTAAGATATATTATTAAAGGGGTTTGGGTTTAAGTCTCAAAACAAAGTAATCTTTTGTGGAATTTCAGTAGAGTATGTTGAAAATATTGGACAAGATGTCTACAAATTCGATTTAGCAAACGTTCGGTGAGAATTTATACCAAGATAAGCATCCTTATGAAAAAGAACTAAGGCAACAGAGAAGGCTTGTTTTGCTCGGTAGTGCGTGATAACAGATCATTAATATTTGTGAATCGCGTGATATCTATCCGGACCAAATTGCTTGTCTTAAAAATACACTTATTCTTTGTGTTTTGCATCGTTGAAACAAGTTTCATGGCCTTTATGCTGTGAATGTAAACAAACCCCTGATCTTTTGCAATTCACGGTAACTGTGGATGCATTATAACACCCGCAGCAGACATTTAAAAGCGTTAAAACAATTGAATGGCTTTGCACCTATATGTTTAGATGACCTTAAACGTCAGTAATCACTTTGCTAACGCATAGCCATTAACGCTAAAAACATCAAAACGAGTTTATGCTCATATCCCGATTGATAGCAATAATATTTTCGACAAAGTATTTTAATCGACAATTTCTAATTGATAAACTTAAAATGCCTTCTATTTCAACTATCCATTCATTTTAACATATGCTTCTTCTAGTTTTAAGGTCCCTAAGTGTCAAAATAACCCAAGATCGCAAAGCAAATACTTTTTGTTTAAATGAATAAATCTAGAGGACTTATTGGATTTTAATGAAGTTGATTATGTTTCAAAGTCCATCTTCATCCTGTTTTCTGCCTTCAGTTTGCTCTTTTATCGATCCTCGTAAAAATTAGTTATGGAGATGCCAATGTGTGTTATCTCGAAAATTTTTATCCGAAAAAGCAAAACGCTTGCTGAAATGGCATTTATTATTGTGGGAAAAACTACAAATGGTCATAAAATAACCTGCGTTTTTTGGCATACTTTTAATCATTCAAAATCATTTTAGTCTTGCAAAGTCTAATCTAATTGAATCAATAAATGGTGAATATTTTGACAATTTTATGTTGTGTAATAGAGTGCATTGCAAGACCATTATTCTCTGCACATTTGAGACGATGCACTAAAAGATGGTAAAAAAATTTGTAAGCGAAGATAGTTTTGGGGCACCGAAATTGACAAATCCATGCTCTTTTATTAGGTTTAATGTTGGTTGTTTTACAGTGAGTTAACTCAAAACGAACAAGTACCCAAACATTTTGAAATGTGCATGAACCATCGACTAACAACAGTGGGCTTTTGTATCCGATACTGATACCTGTATTACTTAACAGAAAACCACATTGGCAGTGCCAAGAAGAGGCATGTCCTTACAGCGGTAACATGCCTTATAACCTTTCTGATTTAACCTTAAACTGAACAATGTGCGAAATTCAAAGATTTCGTAAAGTTCCACTGAGTGGTGGCTGTAAGTTGCTTGACATTTGCGCGTTGTAAGTTGGTGGATTTGTCAGTCATCAAAGATTTTATGCCGATGGTGCACTTTATGTTCGAACCTCTTCAAGGAGATTTTATTAATGACCGCTTAGATTTTTATTGGTGAGTACACAAATCTGTAGCTAGAGTGCATCAGACTTTGATGCTACTTGGGAACAAAAAAAAGATGCGGAAAATCAGCTCACGGTCCGTCATTTCCATAGTGTTAAGTAACTAGATGCAAGCAATTATCATGATCTCACAAATTGCGAATAATTTTTCATGCGGTAAAAAAAGGCTGTCCTTACAAAGTTAAACTGAAAGTAATCTTGTTTAACAGATTATGCATGTATACTATTATAACTTTGAAAAACGAGAAACAATTCAATCGCGTGCAAACGAAAGGGAACAAATGTCCTCAAAACCTGCCTTTTTGAAAAAAAAAACGATGATAGTGTGCTTTCATAGGTTTACAACACTTAGACCCCGTGAAATTTACTTAAAGAACGGTCCCTATGTCTGTGCACTCGTGATTCCTTCATTTTAATCTACAAAAAATGCAGTTAAATGAACACAGCAAACTGGTTGCATGCTAAAAAAAGCTGAAGCCATGGCAGGATGAACTAAGCTTCTCTGCGCTCACGACGCGGACCCATCATTCCATAGCTTTACACGCGGTACTTTAGTCTGTTTCTGATTCCATTTATCTCATAAAGCTGAAAGAGAATATTTTGCAGTATTTCCATTTTTAAAATGCTCATGTTTTTTAAAAATTACTTGAGAACAAATTTGTTTTAATATAAATAATAAGCGTATTTTGGCACCGTAATAAAAAATCAACATTTCAGGTAAACCCAAAAATAAGTATGAGGTTAATTCTAGTGAATATTTAGGGTACAGATTACCGTACTTCAACCGAATATTATGTGCACTGTCACACCTGGAAATTCCTTGTGTAATACATATTCATTTTTATTAAATTTAATTCCAATAACCTAGTGAATTGTCAGTAGAGGGGCGTGAGTAAAGCCTTTTCACGAGTTAACCCAGAGAAGCTGATATTTATTCTTTCTGAAAATCGATATTAACTTTCACGCAAAATAGTAATAACAGCACAAGCGAAGTCTGTCGATCATCAACTATCGCTTACACTCTGGTTTGTCTTGTTTCTGTTCGCAGGTTCTCGCAGCTTGTTAACTCTAGCAGGGCTGTAAGGTAGTGAAAGCAAATTATTTCAATGGCTTTGCCACAAAACACTAAAGGAATTGGCATTAAATTCAATTTTCTGATTGAAATTAACCTAAGACAGTTCACTCATGACGGTCAGATGGATAGATGAAAGAAGACATATATGAAAAAAAATATATACAATGTCTGTAGTCCCACAAATTACAACATGTTATCCTTCATAAGTTACATGGAACGAATCAGTTCACAATTTGTAACAATTCTTATATTTATGACATAAAAATATGAGCTATTTTATCTGCCATACCTAAATATTTGTATAAGATCTAAATAAAATAATCAGTCTGATTGATTTGCTGGTACAAATTCCCAAAAGCAACCACGAGCAACTAATTTT